ATTTTTTCCAGGTGAAATAGCACAAAACACAGCCAAGAAAAACGGAGAAGCCCCGGCCCCGGTCGTCTTTCTCTCCGGCTCGGCGGACCAAAACAAGCGAAAAGATGCCAAAACCTCCGGCTCCGAGGCGCGGGCGTGGTGTCCAAAGAGCAAACCTCCGTCTTGCCCAGCTCTTGCCACAAGCCGTCCCCCGCTTTGGTGTAAACCATCTCGGCGCGCGGACGCGAATCACTTTTGGTGACTATCTTGATTCTTGGGAGTTCGGAACTTAGCAAAAAAGTGTGGCTTTTGGGTTGGGAGTTCGCAGCTCAGGAGACTGCGTTTTTGGGTTCTAAAATGGCTGATTCTGGCACATGAGCCCAGAAGTAGACAGCGGTTTTGGTAAGCTGATCTTTCTGAACCCGGAAGCCCAAAGGTTTTGGGCCGAGAGAGTCCGGGGAGAGATGCAATTATATACCCCAGCGTGGAGACTACATGGCGCGGTTCCAGCTCTGCCACTGGGTAGGGGTGACTCTGAAGTGGGTTGGAATTGCATACACGTTCACCGCCGGCGGGGATAGCTCACACCCCCTCTAGGGGTGGCGAGGATCCTGGAAGGAATTCGAAAGCTCAGGTGAGTCTTGCCAATTGCAACTGCTCCCCAAAATGGGTGGGGGTGTCCAAAACCCCGGGACACTTTTTAGTAATGAACTGGGGTTGAATAATCTGGGGTCAACAATGCGGGTTGAAATAGACCCACAATCGCAAGTGGTGCGAGGCCTTTTCCATCCGCACTGGGTTTGACCGCTGGGTTCCCCAACACCTTTGTAAGTGGTGACCATGTCCAAGTCCCCGCCCATTTAGTCCGTGGACCTCCAGAAACGTTGCTTTCCCTTTATTTTCCGTTTGAAACCGACAAAAAGGGGAGACCCTCAAAACTAGACCCTCGGGAGACTTTCCCAGACCTAACAAACCCGAAGGGTCACCTGTGACTGGAGACGTGGACATCCGATCTGCTGTGACCGCGGCCAGGAAGCTCCGCTCCCCGTTGTTCAGCCCCTAGCGGTGGATCCCGCGGGGTTTTGCCAAGGGCAACCAAAAGCTAGGAGCTAAATATGACAAATGTACGACTTAAAACCCTGGGCGCTGAACTGGGGGGAGGGGGGGGGGTTGTCTGGAAAGGACACGCAGTACACAATCCTATGAGGTACATTGAGCCTCCTGTGCTATTTAAGCCATTTGCCCAGCGAAGAACAAAGGGCCAATGCAAATACAAAGGCAATCAAAAACAACGGCATCCCAAGCCGCAAAAACAAGGCCTAACGCTGAACAGGAACTCTGTTTGACTTGGCCCTTCAAGCCCATGACGTTTCAAGCCAGGTATTACCCCCAAGCGATTTCACGGAAGCTCCCGAGACACCCTGATCCTTGCAATATTTGGAGGATCTGGTTTTGAAGGAACCGACTGTGGATGGACAAACCCACTCCGCACCAGCTGGTAAGCGGTTGTTTAGCCAGTATTTACAGACGTCATCGGGCTTCATCCATCCCAACTTTTGCGAAACGGATTTTGGCCGGAGCTTTCCTGTTTAAGCGCCACGTCTTGCTTGCGTTGGCATTTCCCAGGGCCTCGCCGCGAAACTGCAGCGTGAGCCTGAGCGCGAGGGATGAGGCGAAGCTGAGCTAACGCCAGTTGGAAGGACCCCGAACCAAACCATCCCTTGCGGCTTCAGCTGCTCGCCTCCAAAAGAGTGGATTGGCAAAACAAAGGTCCAAATTTGTTGCATGGTCTTCACAAAAAAGTTGAAAGTTCAGGAACTCGGGAAGTGAAATGAAGGCCCAAGCCACTCTTCATACCCAAGAACCGGCAACTAACAAGTACGGCAACAAAATGGCACCCTCGAAGAAGGGACAATCACATATTCTTGGTGGCCATCCGGGTCGCTCTGGTTTAGTAGCTCCCACTCGACCACAAGTTCGGCTTTCAGGAGAATCTGCCATGGTTTGGAGAGCAAAGCAATAGAAAACCACGGAGAACCAGAGAAAACCACGGAGAACCAGAGAAAACCACGGAGAACCAGAGAAAACCAAGGAAACCCAGAGAAAACCAAGGAAACCCAGAGAAAACCACGGAAGACCAGAGAACACCGGAAAACCAGAGAACACCGGGAAAACCAGAGAAAAAAGAATGAAGCTACCCTGCGCGCAAGCCTGCCAATGGGAGTGGAGGGATTCGGCCGACCCTCTGGGGAAGGGGAAGGGAGGTGAAACGAAGGTGAGACGAGCTGAGAATGACGAAGGGGTTCGTGGATTGCAAGTACTTCTAGGACATGACCTCAGAAACCCCAAGAGGATTCTGCGAAGGGAGGCTCTGAGGGGCAAAGTTCTGGGGACTCAAGTGTTTGACTCTCCTTAGCTTTCTGGCGGGCACCGTCCCCCTTACTCGGGTTTACTTCTGTCACAGCTGACGTTGATGACCCCATCACTCCATAACTCCCCAACTCAACTGACGCCAAAACTGGTGATACTTCCTTTGGGCTAGTAGGTGGTGGGACTTGTTTCCTTCCTTCAGTTGAGTACTCCTTAACACTGGAGAAAACGGATTTTGGGCCCAGACAGCTGACATCCCAACCGAATCCCTGCTCCAAACAAGCCTGAACGAACGCTATGAGTTGGAAGATCCTGGCCAACAGGAAAAAGCCAGTTCCAACAATACAGACAGGTATCTAAGCTACCTGCCAAACGGATACACGACCCGAATTGTTTGAGTGATCCGTTTAGGCAAACAGGAATTGAAACTCGTTTAGGGGATTCGCGGATAGCAGGCCCCGGACCCAGCAAAGGTTATGAGAGGAGACGGAATTCACTGAGTAACAGTGAGGGTCCCCGTCACAACTGCCACAAGATTGAAAACTGCGGGAGGTGGAATCTGAGCAACCTGGATTCCCGACCGCCCCAAGTCAGTGGTAAATGTGGGCTCACAGCCCGCAGTCAACCACTTAGAGGACCTACCAACCGAAGGTATCACTTGCTAATTCGATGATTTGTGGCTTCGGGCTTCTGTCAGGCAACTCCTATGGGCTTCGCATGGCTTCGCTAAGGGACTTCTTGAAAATCCATGGGCAACATGAAAGGCGACCTACTCGATCATGGGAAGACCCTAATCAAAGGAACCGGCCCCATAACTAATAATAATATATATATACTGTCCATTCCAAAACAGGCAACCCCTTTTATTAGTACGGATCCTCCAGCCTAAGCTGAGACTAACATTCCGGGCTTCTCTTCGACCCCGGTCGACTCGAACGCTTGGGGTTTCTAGGGCCCCTGCATGGAGGAGAAGTCGCGGAACAAGGTCGCGGCGGGGGGAGACACTTCCTGCCTGAAGCGTGTGGGCAATTCTTCGATTCAGCCCGGAGCATGAACACATGCGGACGTGTGTGTGTGTGTGTGTGCGTGTGTATGTTTTTCGCTGGCTACTCATTTTGAAAGGTTGCTTGAAAGGGAAACCAAAAAGAACACCCCCACCAATTTGGGGGGTACCCCTATTTGACCTGTACCTGCATGGAGAAAAACCAGGGAAAGGGGCAGGAAAAACTACAAACAAAGGACCCTTCTTCAATCATGTTCCACCGGGAGATGGATCATTGCTCAGGATTCGGAGCCCCTTCTTTGCTTTTTCTGGCTCTCTGCACCATTCGTTTCCTGGGGGGGGTTCACACAAATTGGAATGGACTCCGACATGACCACGCTTTCCTTCTCTCAGCTGCTTTCTGCTCCCCTGCTAGCTTAACTTTTCGCGGTTGAGTGGCAAACCCATTCGTTGGCCAAAAGTTAAAGTCCTAATATCCAAGCAAAACGCACCAAAGTTTTTGCTTCCCTTTACACCAGCCGCCAAACCGAATTTGTAGAAACATATCCATGGGCTTCGAGTCTGTGGGCCCCAAGAGGGGCCCAACGGCCCTCTGGTTCCAGAGGCAGGGAATGAGTTGGAACCACCCTGAATCCCGGCCCCTTGACTCCCCCAAAGTACCGTTCTTGGAATTGGGTCTTACGCCTGTCATGTCCTGGTATTTCCCTATATTTCCTCACCTTCATTTCCCTGCACTTCCTTGCAAATCCCCTGTTACAAAAAAGCACGGTGTTGTCTACGTTTTCGCAAAAAGGAGGTCAAAAACACAAAGTTTTTCCAGATGTTCGGCAAAGGAGAATTCATGTCCATTGCATGCTTCGTTTTTTTTTGGTGGTGAGGACATGTTTCCCCGTTTGGACGAAAACAATTCAACACACATGGGCGAGGAGCCCCCGCACATCATTTCCTCACGTTGTGGGAATGGAAGAGCGGGTCGCTTAAAAAGCGGTGGGTTAGATCCATCGATTTTGGCCCCTTTCAGGCTTCAAAGGCGACCAAAAAAGGACGCCAATGGCTGTTTTCACCCAAAATGGGTGGCCCCTGGTCAATCGACGCATGGACTACCTGCGGTCCATCTCCTGGTTCGATCTTGACCCTGCGGTCTGGTGAACTCCGATGCGGCCTCTTCCCTCCTGCCAGCTCCTCATCGATGACCTGCGCGTGTTGAAACATGCCACGGTCGATCAGTCAACCTGGACCCTTTGTTGCAGCATGCTGCCCTCCCGCGGTTGTCGGATTAACAGAAAATAATTTGTTGCAAGGTCCGGCTTGGATGTCTTGACTCGGCGATTCGGTCAAAAGACGGGAATCCAGAAACCTCAAAAGGGCATCTTCATCAGACATCATGAAGCTGCTTGAAGGCGCATCCGGTGATTTGTGGACCCCCATCTTACCCTGTGCCCCTCCCATCTTGGCAGAATTCGATTTTGTGTCCTAGCTATGGCTCTGTAGGCGCTTTGGCCCTTCATCACATAACCCTTGATTGGTGGATGGGATTTGTGGTTTGCAGGTGGTCTGGGGGTGGTTCCTACAAGAGCCAGGGGCTCACGTTGAAATCCAAACCACCAATCAATCCCGATCAACGAATGGGTACCCGACATCAGGCGGCTCATTCCAGGATCACCGTCTCCACCCACTTGGCATGTTGCCCATCCTTCCTGAGATATCGCGCCAAGGCGCCAGGCAATCTTGCCAAGTTAGCTTTCCTTTGACGCCATCAAACAAAAAAAAGCAAACAAATCAATACATCCCGCAAGGTTGAACAACAAGTCGTCCAAGATGTTTAAAAAAAGAAAGAAACATGCCATCCGAAAAACGGAAAAGGGAAAATAAAACAACAAAAACAACTACTACGCAGTAAGAAAACGACCCCCCTGTTTTGTACGCTGACAAACGTGCATAATCATACCTTGGCCCAACCCACCCAAAAGCATGTTGTCAGATGTTGCTTCATATTCGTGGCTCGAGTTGTTTTTGGGACCCGTTCCCGCAAACAAAAAGTCCTTGGTTTTCCTTCTGGCTTCCCTTTAAGACCAACCGCAAAAAGGGTTCCGCTCTGAAAAAATAGCAACCCTGATATACAAAATAGTGCAGGAGACCTCAGGCACATATGTTGAGACTGATGCGTGCAAATGTATACGAAAGGCTTTTCTGCTTGGAGTGCCTTTGGGGTACGGTCCCTGAAAACTTCCTTACGTGTGTCATGGTTCTCTTCAGGCGAATCCTCAGGCGGTGGATGTCTTTTATTGAAATATATTCCTATATGGCACGTTTCTGCTCCCTGGAAACCTGAAGAATCCTACAGATTGCTCCTGCCGTAAGGCCTCTGAACTGTTGGGTGGGGGTCTTAGCCATTCTCAGCCACACTCGCTTGGGGCTGAGGTGACCCCCCCGGCTTTTGCCGAGCCAAGTGGCACCAGGCGCAAGGGCCCACCCTGCTCCACGTCAAGGGCCTCGCCGTTCTGCTCGAAGGCCAACAAAACCTCAGCGCCGGCCGAACTCCGAGTCCGACTGGAAGTGCTTGACGATTCCCACATTCTCTCCATTTGGACCCTGACAAATGATTTTTCTCATAAATGTCTTCAATATGATTTGGACCCTGACTATCGCCATTCCCAGAAAACAATATCCCTGAAGACAATAGCTCGCTTTGAGTGCACAAAAAAGAAGGGACAGAAGACAGAATTCCGTGCGCGTGTAAAAGGAATGACCCAACCATGAAGAGTTGCAAGTAACAAATCGACTACTCCAACTTTCAGGACCTTTGAACATTTGCAGGAGCCGTAAGATCCCTTTCTGGCACCAGAAATCCGGAGCTTTACGTCATATCCTCACCCGTCCCTTCCTTCGCCCAACTTGGAGCCTAACAAGGCCCCTTTCAGATGCGTGTGTCTCCCGACTGCGCCAGACGCAAGCAAATCCATGCAAAAAAAAGAAACAAGTGACAACAAGTGTTTGCTGGCTGGGGGAATGACAGGAAAAACTCAACTGAAACGTGTTTATCAAATTATTCACCCAAGCTGAATACGCAACCAAAGTCCAATGCGAATGTAGGTGAGTGGCTGGACATGAGCTATCTAATGCTACCTTGGCAAAGCTTATGCATATCGGGATGCATGGGCCAGTTTCCCCCCCCCCCGCTGCAAGCTAACATGGCGCTGGCGAAAGCTCTTCACAGGAATTCGCTCGAAAAGTGGTTCGGTTTTTGGAGGCTCCATGTTGAGCAGCCCAAGGGGGCGGCACCCAGCTAAAATGTAAAACTGCGGGTGTTGTTTCATGTGCTGGACCCCCCGTTAACTTGTTTTGAAAGCGGGGCGAAAGAAAAAAACATTGCCATGTATATATATATATATATCTGTGTGTGTGTGTAAATATGTGTCATTATCTATGTTTGTTTCTTTTTTCTTGGAGGTCCAACTTTGGGCGGCAGCGCTCGTAGCTCGGCTAAGCGTCGTCGTCCTGCAGGGCCCTGGAGAGGAACATGGAGTGCCCAAAGCCTCGAGTGGATCTTCGGTCAAACGGAAGCGGTGGCTTTTGCGAATGATACTCCCCAAACACTCCCCCGCAAACGCATCCCCATAGGAGGGGGGGGGGTTGCGGGGTGCTTGGAAAGTGGTGAGATATTGTGGGTGGATGAAATCCTGCACCAACTGAATTGATAGGTAATTTATCCCAATATTAGCAGGGTTCTGTTCACCCGAGCCCATCCCCAGTATTAAGAGGTTGGATTGTACATTGACCTTTTAAGCAAGATGGACACAGCTGTTCCCTTTGGAATGGATGCTTCAATCCAAAGTAGCAACAGATAACATGCAATCACACTTCCAAGTGTATTGGGAGCAGCTGATGGACTTACAATCTCTCTCGCCTGCCTTGAAAAGAGGCACCCAACAAAACGACAACGATCCCACATCGCAACCAACAACAGCTCAGCTTGACCAATGGTTCCAACATGTCCAGCACATCCAAGTGGGTTGGAAGTAGTAACAGAAAGGGAAGCCCTGCAAAGGATCCTATGCCCCAACCTCAAGCTGAGTACTGACACCCCTGCGACAACCCCGCCCCCTTCCCCAACCCAAACGGAAAGGGTGTTGCCAAAAAGAGGGGAAGCCCACAAAGAGCAACCCGACAAGCGAACCGCAACAGACACCAAACCTCGGGACCGAGGCGCCGTCCATGCCGACAAAGGTCACCAGCGGCTCCCAACTTTGGCCGCGGCTCTCCCGCTTCAAATTCTCGGCTTCTGAGGCGGGAAGCAGATTGCGGACCAGGACTCCTGTCCATTCCTCGCGCGGAACGATTCGCATCGACGCGCGGCCGGCGCCGGGGTGTTCCTCCCCTGTTGTTTTGGCTGTCTTAATAAAACTTCGGCATCCCTTCGGCGTGGTGGTCTTTTGGTTGCCAACTCGACATGTGTTGCTCGGGCGACATGAGAAAGAATCTCTGCAGTTTGTATCAATGAGCCCGCTCTCTGGGTCTGGTGACGGAGTATGGACCTGTCAATGTTTACAATGTCCACGCCAGGCACAAGTTGGGACTTGGGCTTCATCCAGCCCTGGCGCATGAGTTCAAGCCAGCCCACTGTATGCCCAGACACGAATCACCTTTCCTTGCAAACAAAACAAGCCTCCCCCAACCAACTCTGGAGGGGTTGGGCCTCCTCTGGGCGTGGCAAATTTCAGGGAAACAGTTCCACTTCCAGTTCCTGCCTTGTTGACATCCAGAGAAACAACTTTGGGCAACCCGACAGTTTCCTGGACCTTGATGTTGCCGGAGGTGGTGCACTTGTGTGTCACCCGGCGAGTGTGGAGCTTCATCTTTTTCAGGTCCTCCAAGGTGAAGGTCCTGAATTCCAATCACTCACCGCGGAGAATGCATGGCTGACCATCGGCTGAAGACAGCTGTGCTTTCGGGGAACCGTGTGCAAATTGCTGAGGATACGCTAAAACTTGGCTGGAATTAGGACCCCAGCAGAAAAATATCTTCTTTGCCTGGTTAGTGGAAAACAAAAGGAACCCCAAAAAGGCAAAAAAGCAAAAAGCGGAGCTAGTTCTAGGGAAGAATTGAGGGTACGCCAAAGATTGGATTTTGAGATTCTCTTCCGTATAATTAGCCTACCCTGAAATAGGCAATCGCCTTGAAGGAGACGCCAGACTTTGTCGTTCTGGTCGATCGAAACCACCTTGACGTTCACAAACCCAAGAGTTTCAATCAAATAGCTTGGGCGTTGATTCAAAGAGCAGTCACTCTACCAAGCCCATGTGGACTCGGGTAGGGTACCCCAGAAAACATCCCTTAAGAAACACACCGAGATGCTACATTCAAAAACACCGATCAAAGGAAATCAGACCGGAAAATGTGTCTACAAAGTATCCAACTCTAACCTTACAGATAGGTCGGCTGTGAGCCGTGGCCGAACCAGCAGCCATCCTACGAAGTCGAGAACACTTGAAAGCTCGAGGCCAAAAAGAAGGCAACAAAGTGTCCAGGAACGCAGCAACTAAACAATCACAGCGCCCCCTAAGCGAAACAAAGGAAACCTTGCGTCGCCAAACGGCACCCTTGAACACACACACACACACACACACACACACACCAACACCAACACCTCTTGGCTTTCAAGGCTCAAGCCGGACCAGCTGGTTGGGAATGGTCCGGAAAGCCAGGCATGTCAAAAAAAAGTGAGGCCAATACATGCAACACCAACCCAACGCAAACTATCCCAAATCAAATCCAACCCACCCCGAATCCAACAAAACCATCCAACCCAACCAACCAACCAACCAACCAACCAACCAAACAAAACGCACAGGCACCCCCACCGCGCCGTTTCCGCGCGCGTTTCCGCGCGCGTTTCCGCGCCTCACTTCCGCCCCATCCGCTCGCTCCAGCCGCAGCCGCAGATCTTCTCGGTCCACCTCCGGCCACCGCGCCGCGGCCTTGGAAGCCGCGGCCGGCTCCCAGCTGCCCAGGCGGTAGGGCGCCAAAATCCTCCCGAACGCGGCAACCAAACAGCGGAAAAATCCAAGAAATCACGCGGCGACCGAAAAAACACACACAAAAAAAAACAAAACCAAAAAAACACACAAACTTTCACACATATCAAATATATATATATATATATATCTGCAGTTGAACTTGGATGTGCAACCAAGTTTCTGCGGATGGTTGCAAGATCCGTTTCGCACCGTGGTTGAAACCATAACGTAGGGTTGTATTTCCAGGGGAGTCGAATGAGAAGCCAGGCATTCTGAATGGTGCCTTTCTTCTTCCAGTCACAGTTCTAAATATATCTGCGTGTGTCCGTGCATTAGACTGTTTAAACATTTGTGCGCACGTATGTGCGGAAAAAAACAGTACCGGTCCCGAGGCCGAAAGAAACTCATACTTGCTCTCGGTGACTTTGAATGGGTTCTAACCAAGGGGGTTGTTGCTTCCGGATGGGAAAACCACCGTGTTCAACATACCTGCCGAAACGGCTTCAACTTGTTGGGACGCGACTAAATCGAACAACCCAATGCCCACGTGGGCACAAGGGGCCAAAGCCAGCAAAGCTACGGACATGTCATAGGCATCCTGAATGTCCTCCTATTCATCCTGTAAATGACCGCAGCTTTCAAGTGCTTTGTGGATCTGCCTTAGGGATTGCGTCGTAGCAGGCGGGCAAGCATAAACGCAAAGTGTTCAACTGTATGTCCAGCCAGCCCGGACCCGTTTGCCTCGCGAAGATACCGCTTAAAAATGGCGACATTCAAAAAGGATGCCCGGGCTAGTGACTGAAGCAGTTGGAAGGGCAACTCGACTCGAATCCCCAGGCGCGAATCTACAATTTCTAGCACTTTGAAACCACTGCCGTCGATCGTCCGACTCCTTGCCAAGTTCGCCTTGGCGTCCGCACTGCTGCCTGGTCTGGTAAAGGTTGCCCAAAAGGCTGGTTGACAACTCATTTGCTTGGCGTTGGTTTGAACTACTTTGACTCACCCTCCTGAAGCCAGGGGCTAAGGCCCCCCATGTGCCCCCTACCACCCGAGTATTTCTTGAGCTGGAGGGATCCGCATAGCTAGGGCTCGTGGTTTGGGATTCGGGGCGACGAACCAAATGCCAATCCAACCCCGGAATCAAGTTGCCATCGCGTCCATTAGTTCACGCACGCCGCCCGAATGCATTTGCTCCTTTCGTGTTTGGTGCACACACAAATCTGTTTGGTTCATTGGTTTCGCTTCACCATTTCAACTTCTAAATCAAAAGAGTTCGAGGTTAGTATAGCTTACGAAGGCCGTTAGGCCATTCAGGGCCCAAAAGCACCCTCCCCCCCTCCCCCTGTGTTTGGTTTGTTACACAATTGATCTCCCGCAACCATTTGAGGATGATCCAACAGTCCTCAGACAATATATCACAGGAATGCAGGACAGATTGCGGGACGCATTTCCCTTCGGGGATAATCTCATTGCACAGTTTTTCATCATTCAGAGTGAATTGTCAGATCAACAAAGAGAGAGACTGACAAGTGCAATGTCATTGAGAAACATCTCACTAGAGAACTACTCCTATGAGATGCTGAAGACACACTACCATGAACTCTTCATCACAACCAGGACATCCATTCAAGATCCACCCATCCGACCTCAAGGAGGCAACCGAAGCAACACGCTCTTCATCATCGAACAAGGTGAATATGAAGGAGAAGAAGGCTTTTGGGTTGAGGATGAAGGAGGACTTGAAGGATTCATGTCGAACAACGATGAAGAGACATTCTGGGTCCTCGAGGAGAACGATGCGTTCATAGCAAGATAAGTGTCGGGGCGGAACTTCAAATTCAAGAAGAACAAAGGAAAAGGAAAATCAGGAAACAAAAAGGGCAGTCACCAACGAGGTGGCTTTAAACCCTTCAGAAAAAGCGGTTCTGGCGGAAAGGCCAATATGGCCAACGAAAACTATGATCCCTACGACCAGGCATATTGGGGAAAAGGCAAAGGAAAGAAGGGAAAGAAAGGAAAATCAAAATTCCAATATCCCTATGATGGAAACAAAGGTTATCCATCCTATGAGAATGGCAAAGGAAAGAGCGGACATGAAAAAGGGAAATCCAAGACGTTCGCAGCCACCGCAGAGAAGACGGAGGAGCAGCCCGCCATCCAGCAGACTGCACCATCCATAGAGCCTACCTATGCCGGTTGGACAGACCAAGATTGGGATCAATCATGGACATGGAACGAACATGGCTGGTACTCATCCCATGAGACATCCAGCACAGGACAAGCGCTAATGGCATTCCATGATGCATATGAGCATCATGAGAAAAAGGCCATCCACGGGAAGCTGATCCCAGATACAGTTTCAGAACACAATCTGTCCGTCACAACAAATCATAGCCTTCTGGCAACAAAGCTGATGGCGCCTGTCATCAACCCTCAGCACAATCCGACCTATGCGATTCTGGACAATGGATGTACCAGATCTATGGGCAGCTGGCATGCAATCCAGCGTTTTACTCAGGCCATCGAACCAATGAAGGACATCATCTCCTATCAGTACATCCCGGCCGAGACCAAGTTCACTTTTGCAAACGGAGAGACCGCCAGGGTAAATTGGACCCTGCATCTTCGATATCACACAACCAAGTTCACTTTTGCGAAGCATCAGGATGCGGATGACCATCTTGGGTGCAATTGAACACCGCATCCTCCATCAACAAGGCACGGTGATAGGTCGATCAGTCAGCATGATGCGGAACCTCTACATGACCATCGAGCACACACCTCAATGTGACAAGATCACATGCAAGGCCTTTGGCATGAACCGTCAAGCAGTTCCAGTATCCGGTACAGGACATGCACTCGTCGACCTCGCTGGAGTTGCAAGAGTGAAGGCACATGGAGAAATTGCTCACAAAGGCCTCACCAACTATGTCTATGATGATGACAACAGCATCAAATTTCCCTCCGGGGATCTCACCAAGAGTGAAACTGTTTGTGCAGCAAAATCATCCGAGACAAAGGAGGACCTAGCAACTCCTAAGATCATTGGGTCTCAAAAGCAGGACCATTGGATCCTTGACAAGAAGAACAAGCAGCTCATCCGTGTGCACATCACGCCCCGAAAGGCGCTGTTCACACCAAATGGAGCCAAGGAGTGTCCAATCAATCCTGATAACATTAGCCGAGAGCGTACTACGGAAATCCTAGAAGACAATTGGAGACTTACATCCCAGGCAAATAAACCAATGATTAACCTGTGGATAGGTAAGACCATTTTCACCTTCGCGGACAATTCGCTTAAGGACGAAGAAGCAGGTTCAGGATCGGCAGCAGACAGGGTCATCGACAAGAAGGGCCGGTCGACCATTGAGCCAGATCCTTTTGCACCATCCTCAGAAGAACCAACTTCGCTTCCGCTTGCCCTAGGCAGAATCCACAAGCGATTGTCAAATCCCGAAGAGTTGAAGAAGCTCCACCTCCATGGCATCCGACTCTCCGAAGAGCGAACAGCGTTGACAGATCAAACCATCGAGGCGAAGAATATTGTTGCAGCATTTGAACCTGATGGCAGCATCATGGCGAGCAACAAGTGGATCATGAAGAAGCATCTCAGTTATGAAGATTTCGAGATGTACGACACTAAGATCCGTGAATTCGCCGATGCCTTCTTCAGTTATGTGAATTCCAACAAACACGGTAAGGAAAAAGATAATTCCTCCGAGACCAAGAAGCGACGGCACTCCACCGATCAGAACGAAGCTGAAGAGGAAACCATGGAACCCTCCGGGGAGAGATCCGTCAAGCCAAAGGTCACTGTGGAATATCACAATTCAGAACCTAGACGAGTTCATCCAGGAACTCAAGGGAATCTATCTCGAAACAGATTTGAACAAAAAGGACGCCGAGGAAGAGCTCGCGGTGACCAAGGGGAACCTCCTCCGCTTCATGAACAAGTACAACAAAGATCCAAGAAGAGCTCATCCCAAATTGACAGAGTGCGAGAGAGCCTCATTGGCACATGTCGATCCAGATGTCAATCTCGGAGAAGAAGAATTCTACTTCCCTCATCGAGGAGACTGTCCCACAATGGACGAATACAGGCAGGCACAACCAGGATCCGGCTATCCGATTAAGCTTCCACTTGGATTGAAGAAGCTTAGGTCACATGATGACCCGGAAATCATCCGAGCATATGCCGATATCCTGCTGGGGTCGTTGATGCAGCCGACCGACTGACCTTCTGTGGACTATCTCAAGATGCATGAGTTCACCTCATCCATAGCGATCAACATGCTTACCTTGAACCATGGAAACCTCACGAGGAATCCAAAGCTGGACAACAGGGAGGTGTACAACATGCCGATGAAGGATCGACCAATCGTGAAGATGATGATGCAGAACAGTGCACGCATCTTATGCCTAAATGAAGCAGACGCAGTCTTCAGTCCTAATGATTAGAAATCCAGGGAACTCATCAAGACGTTCATCCGATTCGGGTACAAAGGCATCGTGATCAAGCAATGGTCATCCAGTCCGATCGCATGCTTTGTCCGCGGCGGACCTTCTGCAAGAGTGGAACTACTGGCAAGACATATTTCCACCAAGAGTCAGAATTGGGGAACCACATTCGGAATGTTCAGATGCTTCTTCGGAACCGAAGGAAGTTGCACTGATCCCGAATACGAAATTCCGACCTCGGATTGTTTGGCAACTACGGGAGCATCCATGTTTACTAAATCCAAGAAGTACATTGGACCGAGATTGCCAGCACGCACCATTGTCCAAGGACATGGCCGAGACAAGGAGATTGTCGTTCTCCATATCATCCAACAAGTCACTCCACGAGTGTGACGACCGCCACGTAACGAGGGCAGACCTCCCGTTTGCTACCATTGGAGTTTTCCACATTCATCCATCAATTAGCCATGGAGCAGCACGGGAAGATCTTCAGAATGAAATCATGCCGCTCGTGACTTTGTACCGATGCGATGCGATCACCGGAGACGCCAATAAATCAGCAAACTCCAGCACGTCTTCAATCCGGCCAACGGTCTCGTGAACATCCTCATGAAGGCATATCAGAGACTGTGGAATGAAACGATGAATTTGTCACTCGTGGACAGAATGAGTATGCAATGGAGACTTCGTGCACCCTAAAATCCATTGTCCGTCATCACCTGTACATGAAGTCTGGATCAGGATACGATCGAGCATTCCCAGATGTGATGATGACTTTCGTGTTTGGATGGGGCAAAACGAATATCCAGCAGGCCTTCCGGAATGACGAGATGAACGCCATGGATGGTGAACAACTGGAAGCCATGCGGAACGATCCAACAAAGGCCATATTCGATTACCAGGTCTCATCCGCAGAGCGCTTTAAGCACGTGACAATGACATGTTCATGAATGGCTCACAGGACTCCGACTCGCACAGTCCCCTCATGGTTTACATCCGCAGCAAATCTGCAACCAGGCAACGCAACTTTGAGAGATCCCAGGAGTACCTCAAGAAGAAACAAGCCTGGACCCCGCAGGAGTACAAGGACTACAACAAGCAGTGGGGACATCAGAAGCAGTGGAAGGACTATGGCGCCTCGACCTGGAATGATTATGTTCTGCGCCGCTCCCTGTTTTCCACATCACCAGATGGTGTTCAAACTGGTGACACACCATATGATTTCTATATCAGCTTTGCTGACAAGAAATGACTCACCATTGGCAAACGGGCCCTAGCCTTCGCTAGGGGTGCCACAGCCTGCACTGATGCACTGACCCGTGTAGCCAATGGCCGAAAGAAGGGCCCTTCTCCAGCAACCCCCGTCCAGAAATGAATCCGCGGTGGGCGGGTGGGAGCCCAAAACTCACGTGCAAGCGGTCATGTGTCAGGGGCAGTGAGAACTCGAACATGCCTACTGAACAACATC